TAAGATTGATTTTAATGGAATTTTTTACATTTTTTGATGAAATCATTTCATCAAAAGAAACAAGTTTCTCGTGATCTACGATCCAAAGGAGAACGGTTGTTAGATAAAGCCTGATAGATGCTCTGGCCAATTTCTTCCGTGACTTATCTGCGAATATAACTCAAGGACTCTCGCGTGATTTCGCATGATTACCGGCGCACGATAATGAGAACGTCTTGGAGAAAAATGCGCCCCAGAATTCGAGAGATACGGCTCTCTTGAATGATGGTCATTTAAAGTCATCGATAAATACTGTTAGCTACAAACATGTTATGTCGCTTTAACTTTGATACATTACTTGCGAATTATAAACTTTATGTGGATAAATTGGAGATTTGAGATAGATCGACTAGAAAGGTGCGTCGAACTTTGTATAGATTAGGTTTTGAGGAGGGTGCGACTTTAGGGATTCGGGAGGGAAGGATTTAAGACGTTTGGTCATTTGGGAATTTGGGGATTTTGGGATTCGTCAGTTTGGAAATTTTAGTATTTGGGATTTGGGAATTTTGAGATGCATGGAAATGTATTTGGAAATTTAGGGATTGAGGGACTCGTACATTAAGGGATGTGAGAATTTGGATACTTGAGAGTTGGGCAATGTGAGAGTTTTACGATTTATAGTTTAAGGAATGCAGATATTCGGGAGTTGAGGAATTTGGGGATTTGTGTACTTGGAAATTTATTTGGAAATTTAGGGATTGAGGGATTCGTACATTAAGGGATGTGAGAATTTGGATACTTGAGAGTTGGGCAATGTGAGAGTTTTACGATTTATAGTTTAAGGAATGTAGATATTCGGGAGTTGAGGAATTTGGGGATTTGTGTACTTGGAACTGTATTTGGAAATTTAGGGATTGGAGGATTCGTACATTAAGAGATGTGAAAGTTTGGATACTTGAGAGTTGTGAGAATTTTACAATTTATAGATTAACCCTTTGCACTATGACTTATTTGTCAGGTGCGTCAGACAGAATTGCGCAATTAAGCTATAACATTAAAATAGACAAAAAAATTGAAATGTTATTTCAATATGTTATTATTCAATTGTTGACTATGCAAATTATAGTTGAACTTGAACTCCAAATAGAAGCGTATTAAAAATTTTAGTAAAATTGATCACAGTCGAGGTACGAGTGCGTCACGAGTCAGACTCGTCAAAATAATGCAAGGGGTCAAGGAATGTAGATATTCAGGAGTTGAGGAATTTGGAGATTTGTGTATTTAAGATTGTAGAGACTTGTGCATTTGAGGATATGAGGATGTGAGAATATGTGGATTGTCACACATGACATGTACAATGAATAGAATTTTGCACGTTACAAAAATTGAAAAGACCTATTTTTCCTAACGTAATCAACTCACCCTTTCCTCAAACATCATACATACATTTCCTCATACATACATTTCCTCATGTATATAAATCACAAATTTTTCTCATACGTAAAAAATTGTCTACACAAAATTTAATTTGTGAATTTAAAAACGTATTGTAACATTTCGTATACCTCCGTTTTAAAACCTTTCCTTTTCCCTCGACGAAAGCGCCATGGCGTCGGACGATAACTCGATTAACCGTTGATAACCGAGTATTTATTAGCTCGCGAGATTTCATTTTGATATGTCTTCGGATTTCCTCCTGCGCCCTCGACGATGCGTTTCTCCGACCGGAAGTTCCACGTCCAGGACTACAGGCTCGAATACGCGGCGAGATACCGTGAAAGATTGAAATATTGGAGGTGCCGCTCGGGGATATTCAATGCCGCCATTTATCTCGCGAAACGTGCATTTTTGATGGCATTTTACTCTCGAACCGGGAGAGATTAAAGAAAAGTTCGGAGTATAAATTCTTTTGGGCGAGTTTCTCTTTTTTCGGGATATTTAATATTTGATGGAAATTGTTTGCGAAGGAAAAGAATTCGGTGATTCAGATGGGATCGATTTTGATACCGTGAAAAATATGGACGAATAAAAATTCTTGGTGGTACATTTTTAATGCGGTACAAAGACGGTGAAATTACGGGGAATTGTTTTTGATTATGTTCTGATTACCGGGTCGAATTGCTGCTTTAATTAATAAATGATACTTGAATCGGCAAGTGTGCTGCACTCAGTGTTTTACGTTTCTCTTCGACAGGGATGCTAAATGTGTTTGTGCTTGAGAAATGATTATTTGCTTTGCATTTATTAGGTTTATGAATTATCAGATAATTTCGTAGCGCATCATTTTATAATATTCGTTAAATATTTTATCATGAACTTGATCTTTAAATTAAAGCTAGATTTAATTACTAAAATTGAGTATTCACGTACTGAGTTCACAAAGGAACATAATTTATAAGATTCATAATATATAACATTTTATTGCAACATATTTTAACATTTATAAAATAATTCTCGTATTTATATTATTTATGGCACTGCAAATTGCATGAAAATCTTTTTGTTTTAATATTTTTCAATTTTTTTAATATGCGAGTTGCGAAAGGTACTATTGGCGTCATCTAGCGGTGGACGTTGAAAACAATCAAACTGAAAATTGCATCTTTCTGTAAAATTAGCCACTTTCATAGTATGTTGAGGATTGTGAAATATATTGTGGGTCAAATGTGATTCATGTAGTTGCGTAATTCTTTGTTTGAGGCGTTAAAATCGAAAATTGAAAATAATGAGTTTTATGGGCAGTGAATATCGCAGCCATCTAGCGGCGAACTGCTGGAACTAACGAACGAGGTTCCAGACATGCGATTTAGTTCCAATTTCTTCCGATTTTTTCACAGATGGCGCTAGTAGTACTATTTTAAAAATCCATGCTATTAAACTTTATAAAACATAGAAAAATAAAGTTATACACGTTTCTTATCTTTGAAAATAAATCGATTACCTAAAACTGACTAAATAAATACAAATTTTAGAAATATAAATATTCTTTTAAATATAACAAGTGAATACTATTACTACTTTCAACATAGGTGTTCTTTTACAAATTGCAAAATAGAATATGAATATCTGTACAAATTAAAAAATTACAATTAAAAAATTTATCTCGTTAATATTTCAAATATTTTTCTCCTTCATTTGACACTCAGATCCAAGAATATATAATTTACTTTAAATATAATGATCAACTTCATAATTGCTCCCTCCTGCAAACCTTTGTACACACTTGTTGAAATGTTACAGTACTCCACGCAGAAAAATAGGTTATCGAAAACTTTAATTGACAACCAATTAATTAGTATCGGAGTCTCATATAAATGCCGGTTACTAACATAAATGTTCATGGTGAAGATCGACGCGTTGCGATGGCGCACGATAATTATTTCTGCGTTAGCCATAATTATTGCCCGGGTGGCAATTAATTCCTGCCCAGCCGGCAATTAATTTATTGCGACTTGATTAATTACCGCATGCTCGCCGCCGAAAGACAGTTCGTTACTGTACTGGAGCTGCCTTTTATCTGGCTGCAAACTCGAGCACCACTTTGACCCTCTGATAAAACTACACGAGACTTGCGTTTAAGTAATTTTTCCCGTTATGTCAAACTTTAGCTCATCTCGGAATTTATTACTAATCTTATCCGTACCAAATTTTATCTTACATGGCATTTTATGTTATTATTGCGAGATGATTGTATTGGTATTAAAATGATAATTTTTGTTGAATATTTTTTATATGTTAATATTGATAATTTGGTCAAGTATAATCTATGTAAAAATACTGACAATTTGGTCAAATATAATTTATATAAAAATATTGATAATTTGGTCTAATATAATTTATATAAAAATACTGACAATTTGGTCAAATATAATTTATATAAAAATATTGACAATTTAGTCAAATATAATCTACATACAAATATTAACTATTCAGTCAGATACAAATATTGTCAATTTCGTCAAACATAATTTATATAAAAATGAAGCTACCTAAAGTACCTATCAAAGTACTTACCCACATATTGCAAATTAGAATTATACTCTACTTAATTTACGAATCGAATTCGACATTTCCAAAGAAAAAATAAAACCTTGTCAAAAGAAAATAAGGGTATCGATATACCCTTGGAGCGTCCTAGCTATCGCATTTTTCTTCCGTTATCGACGAGGGATCGAGAGGTAAATGGTGGTCCCTGGGTCCATTTTGCGGATGAGATATTGCGTAGATTTTCACTTTTCACCGTAAGCCGGCCATTTGCGGCGATCTTTGAGAACGCCGGTGAAGGATATGCTGTTTGGAAAACACGATTCGTTCCGTGTCACAGCCATTGTGGTCCCACGACACGTCGAATTTTTCAAAATACCAGGTACGATCCCCTTTCGTCATGCTGGTTTTTCGCTTCCCGTGAACAATTCTGGGAAACGTGAAGTTCCAGCCAAATGGTCCTACTATTTTATTATAGCAATTTTTTCATAAGTTTTCTAATTCATAAAAATATTCTATGACAATCTTCGACAATAATTTTGGAAACGTACATATAATTTTTTTTTGCAATGAAAACATTCATAGTTTTGTTTAATTTATTACAAAGATGGCGCCTGAACAGTTACATCTATGTTTAGCATTAATTTTAAATGATCAAACAGCAAACCCTTGTAATAGAAGAATGCAAACATAATTATACGACAGAGAGGTAAAAGAAAAGACACGTTTGCGTTCACAGTTTATTGCACAGATACAAAAAGGGGAAAAAGATATCTCTACTTCTCTTTCTACTGTTTATTGGAAACCTTGATACACTCGAGCTTAATTATAAATATCATGTACCGTACTATATTTACAAGTAATCCGATCGAGCAGGTGGATGTAGCTTGTCGTTAAAATTGTTCGGAAAAAGGATTCTACGACGACGAATGATCTCGGAACGACCAGGAGGGGAAACTAATATTTCACACGTTGGCGAAAGGAGATTCGCAGACTCCGCGAAGTTCCATTATTAAATATTAAGACGAGAGCTGAGCTACGTTTCTTTGGCTCCCCCGATACGCACGGGGTGATCTCGCAAAATATTATTTAATCCTCGCTGGCCGTTCGCGCTCGTGGCAATTCTTGCTCCTGCTTCAAAGTTAGAACAAATAAAAAAAAGAAATGTAAGACACATTTGGACGCTGCGATATACCATATGCATATGAGTATAAACCTAGATATTGTAGAGCTGTTTATTATAATAGCGATATCTATATCATACGATAATGCATTATTCGCAAACATTCAGAAACTTGGGGTAAAAAGTGTGTCAGTCGATCGAGCTCTTTTATCTCTCTTGCAGCTGCAAACGGAGAAACAGATGTCCGTTTTATAAATCCGAAAAAGTAAAAGATCATTGTCTACAATTTACGTAAAAAAAAAAATTGTCTACAATTTACAATTGTTTGTTCAGCTGCAACTCGAGATTCCGTGAATTTGATCGTTCCTGAATATGGCGAGTAATGTTATTAGCCATACTTAAATGTACTCTGAATCTCATCAGTGGCCTATGTATCTAGTTATTCGTTTCGGTCCGTACCCTCGCGAATCGAAGAGCAAAGAAAAACCGCGTTTTCAAACTCGTTCGCTCGTGCGGTACCACCGTGGCAAAATCCTCGACTTCTAAATTCGTTCGATATTATCGACGGGTAGCAACTCGCTCGTGAACGAGGTTTATCGACGGAAAAGGAAAAGACAGTGAGTAGCGTTGTCGAGAAGAAACGCGAGTTCAATCTCCGAGGATTCCTACTTCCTCGACGGTCAATCCACAATTATCCTGTCCCCGTAATTATAAAATAATTTCACTATGAGCACAAAATTTTGAAGGAACAATTTCACTTCGGGCACCAAATTTTGGACAATTTCACTTTGGGCACAAAATTTAGTTCCGTCGATCAGGAAGTACCAATCTGTACCGATCGAGTGTCGATCCTCGCATTTATCGACAGAGGTCTTCCCCGGATCGTACCGATGGAAGCGCCACGCAGAAGAGGAAAATAGAGAGACTCGTTCGAGGAGGCTGCTTAATTGATTCTACCCTTGTGGGTCATGTAACTTATACTGTCGGATAACAGCTTCTCCCTGGCCTGTCGTCGCATTCGCGAGCACATGGCCAATATCGTGCCCGCCATGATGCACAGGAAGCCACATCCGATTCCTATGATCGTGCTGAGGACGTTGGATCTCAGGCAGACTCTGTCCGTGGATTCGCTGGGACCTGGAAATATTCCCGATGAAAATTTAATCGAAACTCATTCGTCAATGTCAATGAACAAATGGCGGAATGTGATATATAGCTGAGAATCATATTCGTTCACATTAGTTTCGTATTGAACCTCCACCTGGATGACAAGTCCATATCGATCACGATCTCCAAATGGACCGCAGTCTCAAAATACCAAAAAGCTACTGTGGTACAATTTCGAAGTATGAGATACTACTAGCAAATTGTAATTAACTACAATTGTTGTTAAGAACTTAGAGGCCCATAGATAATAATTCGTTTATGGCACGACCTGGGACCAGGGTTGACTCGGATCGAGGTCAGTGATGTAAACCATGTCAGGGAAATTAAAAAACTGCGCAAACAGTTGCCTGTCACATGGTAAAAATAGGGAAAGTTTTCAACCCCAATTGTAATTAACTGCTAGTTAATTGAACTGACCGCTCCGATAGGCTGTGGTAGAATTCTGGAAGAACTCAGTGTCCGCCTCTCCTTCCTGAAGAACACGCAGCGATTGAAACAGGTTGACGTTCTCCGATAAACTAGTAGCCGGCGTGGAAGGTCCGATTTCTGGCAGCGAACGTTTGGCAACATTTTTGGCATTCCTCCAGTGGCATGGTTGACTCTGTAATTACAAACGATACGAGTGCAACAGGTACAGGTTTGGCTCCAGAATCAACAATCTGTAGTGTACTTACTGGACATCTCCCGTGACACATTCGAACGTCGCACTCGATGTACAGAGCTGGAGAGCCTGTGAACCTGAACGTCTTCATGTAGGCGAACACTTGCGTCTCGAAGAGGCCGCTCTCGGACCAGGATCCTCGGAATCTGCTGATCAGCTTGTCGTCCACGGGACACCCGTATTGGTCGATCAGCTGGATTCGCTTGTTTCCGCCGTTGTGTGCGTAGCAGTCGTTCACGACGATGTCGAAACCATCTGGTGAAGGAGACGCTGTTTAATATTTTTAGAATTTAGGAAGTGGAGGACTTGGAAGCTAGAAGATGGAAGAACTTAAAAATTCTTGATACAAAATTTTTCGTTATCTTCCTAATTCTTCCTAGTCTCAGCTACGTCTCAACTGTTAAATATTAGCGACCTGCATAAAATTGTGAATATTTCACGCGTAAAAAAGAGGGTCTCTGCAGAGTAAAAGCAGAGGGTTCAGGCGTATTGATTGTAAAAGGCTAATTTTGGCTCGTTGAAAGCCCGTGATAAAATCCTAGTCCCGTTATTCGAAGGAATAACGCCAGGCAGATGTTACGTTAAGCGCCAGCGCGATTAGGCCTCGGGAGACGAGAGTGTACGAGCGTGAAGCGAAAATGCGTGCAGCTATGCCCGCGTACCGTATTTGCTGCGCATGTAGATAATGAGAGTCAGAGGATCGCCGACGCGAACTGGTCCAGCCACTCTAGTTCCAGTGGTCCCGTAACCGTATCTGATTTCCATGTAGCACTCCGGTGGCTGCAGGGTGAACACTACGGGATTTCCCGTCGCGACTCTGGAAGAAGATATCCGCGTTAAGGCTTCTGTAAGAACCAGGTGCCCGTTATCTGGTAGCGGAACGATATTCATGATCAACATTATGATACCGTTCTGATCTACATGACGATCACGCGCGATCCTAATCGATAAACAAAGCTCTAACTGATTCTATGGCTTCTTTTACTTACTCCACGTCCAGGAACGGAAAGGTGACGGTCTTCCAGAAATCGTAGCCGTATTCGCAAGTCACTTTGAAATGTTCGTCGAATTCTTCCTCGATCAACGGGTTGTATTGCACCGTGACGGTATTCCACATTAGGTTTTTCTGAAACCAAAGAACCAAGTTGAATGCTAAGTGTTGTTACAGTTATTAGATGCATTATATTTGCTGTATTTATTCAAGTGTTTAGGGAGAGATGTAGGACTGTAGGAGTCCAGGGAGGCGGAGTGAGATTAAAAAATTTCGAAGGCATAATTCTCACATGTTCTCACATGTTCGAACTCTGGTATCTCTAAATTCTTCTCTAAATTCCACGTCTCCAGTTCTCATGAATTTGCACCATTATTTCTTCAGTGGTCATTTGACCTGACTCTTGCAGATCATCTACGTATTCTGACTGAAGCACCCCATCAAAGATTCAACTATTTAGGGAAAGATATAAGGCTGTTGGAAAGCAGGAGTCCAGGGACTTAGAGGCAGAGTAAGATTACAAATTTTCGAAGCCATAATTCTCACATGTTCTCACATGTATCCCTAAATTCTTCCCCTTCTTCTCTAAATCCCATGTCTCCAGTTCTCATGAATTTGCACCATCATTTCTTCAATGGTCATTTGATCTGACTCTTGCAGATCATCTACGTATTCTAACTGAAGCACCCCATCGCAGATGCCAAACGTTAAAAAAAGTAAAAAGCACCTATCTATCCTTGACATCTCCACATGTCACCTCAATCTACCGTATTATTAAGATCGCGAAAAATGTCTCGATGCACAAGTTTCTTCTCGCGAGAGGGGTAGAGCCCCAGGATATAAATCACGTTCACGTGCTCGAGCGTTCAATAAATCATGAGCTGTAGGTAACAGAATTATTAGCATCGGCGTGGCTGGACGATCCGTCGCGTATTAATACGTCGGGTCGCGAGACACGGTCGATCGTTAAACGTCCAGTCGACATTGTGGACGATCTCGTAACGCATGAAAGCCCGTGCGTGGGATAGTGGTATTTTTCCGTGTACGTTAATCATTATTATTCCTTGTCAAAAGAAGCCGGTATTCACGCTGCGATCGTAACGAACCGCGCCGGATTATTCCGTCGGAAGCTGCGCGTTTTACCTACCGTAGGATTCTTTCTGCTGTCCTGATGATGAGTGTTCTCGCCGAGGGTGCCGCAACGATTCAGCTGTATGTAGAACTCGTAGTAATCGCGGCCTGTTCCGTTAACGTACATGCAATCCGGGTCGTAAGAGTAGCCTGCAATTAAAATAGATCGTACGCTATCAACGATCATTCAGCGATGAAAGCTTACTTATGGTTATCATTTGCGAAAATGCTCGTTGATTAGAGGGTTAAGCTGCGAAGCCAACTTCGTTACTGAACATTTTTATCCCTTAGACGTTTATTGAAACAATGCTCATTTATTGTTACGAAGAAACCATTAGCAGTTATTTAGGTCTCAACCTCCTGCTGATTATTATTCTACAAGAAAATACTTGCTAATTAACGAGTTGAACTGCCTGCCATTTCAGCATCTTTTAAGTTAGGACTGTCGTAACTTTTTAGGACGGTAATACTTTTGAACGACTATTACATATTTCACTTTGAAGTCAAGTGCTATCGTTTGAGGAAATGCTTGCTAATTATCTAGGAAACGAATTGTTCTTTTCAGGTCTGTATACCTGTTATTATTCATTTGCGAATGAATTAAAAAGAAGCTGCAACTGATAAGAGCTCCTGTCTGAGTCTCATTAATAATTAGGCTCTAAATAATCTCCCTATTGAGTCACTTCATTACTACAACTTCATTACTTCATAACTGACATCATTTGACAAAGTGTTCATTATTCATTTTACTTCTAATATCATTCAACAAAACGTCCTTTACTAATTTTACTATCAACATCATTTGACAAGTGTCTATCTTGCAAACCAGACTTGGTACTCAGCGAAGAATGCCTCCATTTCACGAAATTGCGGTCTACCGCGTCGAATAAGAACAGATTTACACAATTCGAATACAAGAGAACAAGGATCGTTTGTTCCCCTCAGAATCACGCACAGAGAATACATAGTTTAAAATCACAACGATGGTCAAGAAGGACGAGCTATTTCCAGGTGCATCGCGTGCAGAGAGAACGCGTTGTGCTTCTTTCAAAATAACGGAAGTACACGGTTTGACCATGCTGGAGACCGGCAAGAGATCTCGTCATGGAAAAAGGAAAATTCTCTGTCGGTGGGCCTAGAGAGAGATCATCTCGCGATAATTTCTGCCATTAGCTCGTCAGCGTGTAACAGTTCGATGTGCCCGTTCGGATGATTGCGAGCTCTAGAATCGCGAGGTCGCAGACGTGATTCGTCCTTTTAATGCGAATGTTGGAGCACGTACGTGTTCACTTCTCGTCCGCAATGTTAATTTCTGGAGGATCTAGGGACCTTACCTGCGGAGTACAGTAGCCCGGCGAACGACCCGTTGAAACCGATCCTGATCTTCATGTAGTCGTCCTGGCATTCTGCCTCGATGTCTGTAACAAGATTGCATATATTTTGATTTTTGCACATTTTGAAATTTATATGGGAACAAGTTTTATAAATTGTTTCATATGAAGTTACATATGAAGTTATATATGAAGTTGCATATGAAGCTATATATGAAGTTACATATGAAGTTATGTATGAAGTTACATATGAAGTTGCATATGAAGCTACATATGAAGTAACATATGAAGTTATGTATGAAGTTGCATATGAAGCTACATATGAAGTTACATATGAAGTAACACACGAAGTTACATATGAAGTAACATGAAGTTACATATGAAGTTGCATATGAAGCTACATATGAAGTTACATATGAAGTAACACATGAAGTTACATATGAAGTTACATATGAAGTAACACATGAAGTTACATATGAAGTTACATATGAAGTTACATATGAAGTTACATATAAAGTAACATATGAAGTTACATATGAAGTTATATATGAAGTTGCATATGAAGCTACATATGAAGTTACATATGAAGTTACATATGAAGTTACATATGAAGTTACATATGAAGTTACATATGAAGTTACATATGAAGTTACATATGAAGTTACATATGAAGTTACATATGAAGTTACATATGAAGTTACATATGAAGTTACATATGAAGTTACATATGAAGTTACATATGAAGTTACATATGAAGTTACATATGAAGTTACATATAAAGTAACATATGAAGTTACATATGAAGTTATATATGAAGTTGCATATGAAGCTACATATGAAGTTACATATGTAGTTACATATAAAGTAACATATACACACACACACATATATATATATATATACACATATGTCTACACCTAACTAGACTTTCAAAAATGTATCATTATTAGAACAAAGCACAGACCCACCCTATCCACATATCAATCCACACGAGACCTATTACACACATCACTACCCAACTCTGACCAAACACCAAACTGACCACACTCCAAATTGTCCTACAAAATGTCCTACCAGTTACCAGCCAATTTCAGACTAAAAACCCGACGGATATGGCCAGTGTATAGGATCGATTCAGAAAGGTAAGAGAGGGTGCAGTGTCGAAATTGTCGGAAAATCGAGCATCCGGTGGGCGGAAAGCAGCGGAAAACCGGTCGCCGATGACGAGTGAAAGTAAAGCAGCGAGCCGAGTCCCCTTATAGGCGCTCTTCGTGGTAAGGAGCCGTTTCCATCGTAAACGACGTAATCCAGCGGGAGTGTGGAAGATGTACGGCGTTAGATGGAGACTGGCGATAGTCACAGTCGAGGTAAGTCCCGATGATACAACATTTCGCTGGTCGTCCGTTCTTTCTCTGTTGCTCTTTCTGTTCGCGCGTGCTGATGTACACACGCGTTACACGCGTATTTTCGAGGTATGCACGCACGCTTATTAGAATTGCGGATACGTGCTTTGTGTTCATCGGCCGGTAAAACGTCCGAGTAGACAATGAAGCCGGTTGTGCAACGCCGATACTCGCTCGAGTACGCTGAGGTGCGTTATTTCGGAGGCAGCATTTTTCACTCGCGATTTCGTTCGTCCTCTTTTAACTATTAAATTTTCTTTTATATTAGGGTGAGATATAATTGAGATTATTTATAGCTAGATTTGTATGTCTATTTTTTTAACTTTTTTTATTGCTTTGCAATCGTGATGCGAATGTTCTGAAGATTTTATAGTGTATAATAGTGATAATATATGTGGAGATTGTTAATAAATATTGAAGCTGCTGATTTGCGTATTTTCAAAGGCGTTAAATTTTTTCGTTGCGATTCCTGTTTTACGAGATTTCCGTTTCATCTTGATTACAAGCCGCGCAATTCTAAATCTTCCCCGTTTTGATAGGAAGACTCGCAGTGTTCGCAATCAGCGCAAAACAACTTGATATCGTTGTAATAACAACCTCCTTGGGAACAAAGCGTGCCGACGTTTATTCTCGTAAAGGAAATATATGGACGAAACAGCGAGGATCAGTCAAAGACCAAACAACTTCCATTTAAATCTCATTAAATGGAAACGCGCGAGATGTTGGATTATAGTGAACAGAACGGAACAAAGAAACGATAACTGATGGCCGATGGTTAAGAGCCGATTATAGAAATAACCGTTCGAGTATCAAGCTTCTTCTGCTTGCGTTTATTCCGCGAAGACGATAGCTCATCGTCGAGCAGTCGTTCCTCTAATTGCTCGAATGCTCTTGTTTCTTCTGCCGTAAAACCACAATTACGATCATTCGATTCGCCAACCCTTTAATTCGTTCTTAATCCCGCCTGTTATTATTACTTAAAATAGAGGAATTTATGAATATAGGGATCCGGGTATGTAGGGATGGATGGAGTAAGGATGCACGATGTTTACTGATATGAAGATACTGGGGTATCTTGGTACTGGATTATAGGAATGTGGGTAAATGGTTATGGGAACTTTTGCTGAGTTGTAAATTTTGGAATTTCGTAATTAATCCTTGAAGACAAAAATCTCCAAGTGGACACATCCTTGAATTCTTAAATGTCCAGGTCTTTAAAGCTCTAAATCTTCAACTCCTCAGTCTGTAAATCTCTAAACATGCAAATAGTCAAATAACCAAATACTTAAACTCCCACATGCTCAATCTCCACATCCCTAAATCCTCAATTCCCTAAATCCTTAAATTTCTAAACATGCAAATTCTCAAACCTCCACATCCTCAAACCTCTACATTCTTAAATCTTTACATCCCCAAATCTTCAAATAAATTCCTAAATCCCCAACTCCCCAACTCCTTAAACTTCCAAACATGCAAATACCCAAATCCCCAAATCCCTAAATCTCTAAACCTCCACATCCTCAAACCTCCGCATCCTCACATCTCCCCATCCTCAAATCTTCAAATAAATCCCAAAATCTTCAAATCCCAACATCCTCAAATCCCCAACTCCTCAAATTCCCAACTCCTCAAATTTCCAATTCCTCAAATTCCCAACTCCTCAAATCCCCAACTCCTCAAATTTCCAATTCCTCAAGTCCTAAAATCCTCAAATTCTAACATCCTCAAATCCCCAACTCCTTAAATTCCCAGCTCCTCAAATCCCCAACTCCTCAAATCCCCAACTCCTCAAATTTCCAATTCCTCGATTCCCAAAATCTTCAAATCCCAACATCCTCAAATCCCCAATTCCTCAAATTCCCAGCTCCTCAAATCCCCAACTCCTCAAATTCCCAGCTCCTCAAATCTCCATCTCCTCAAATCTCCAACTCCCCAAATCCCCAACTCCTCAAATCCCCAAATCCCCAAATCCCATAAATCCTTGAATCCATAAATCCCCAAATCCCCAAATCCTCAAATCCTCAAATCCCCAAATCCCCAAATCCCCAAATCCACAAATCCCCAACTCCCCAAATCCCTAAATCCCCAACTCCCCAACTCCCTAAACTTCCAAACACGCAAATACCCAAATCTCCAAACACTCAAACTCCCACATCCTCAACTCTTCAAACACTCAACACACATGCAAGTACCCAGCACGCATCTTCTGCACACATCGAAGAATCAAGTAAATAAACAAGAAGGCAGATAAAAAAGGACAAAGGAAACGATAGAAGCTGACGGAAGACGAGAGCAATGATGATGAAGAGAAGAAGAAGAAGAAAAAGAAACGAACTAAAGTCGAGGCCCGAGGTCGTAGAATCGAGCGTGCAGAGGAGGGTACATTAAACCTAATGGGCCTTCTTTCGCGTAATTGACGATACCGCGGGTGGCCTTATATTCCCCGCAGAGAAGGGCTTTACGACTTCATTAAACGTACAACCTCGGCTCTGGAGAACGCGTTGAATTCATCATCGATAAACATGAACACGGGCGGATGCTCATTTCCAGAACACTCCTTCCTACTGCTTTGAATATTTCGTGCCGAGTTTCTGCTCTTTCAGCCGAGTCCTTTCAGCTCATCGTTCAGGAATATTAAATCTGAACTGGGAAGTACAATTCAAAGCGAAATAACAATCCCATGAATTCATTTGTGGAACTAAAAAACTTGCTAAGTTGGAACTTGTTAAAAAGATTAATTGGAAGAATCCAATTGTCATCTTGAACCTCGAATCTATTATCACGAATGAATTAGCCGACCACCGTCAACTTTATGAGTCGTAAATCACGACGAAATCGTCCGATCACAAAGCAGGGGATTCGACTTATCGGGAAAACATTTCGCAGCCGTGTAATTTGGAAAATTACGGTCGACACGGGTGATCGATTCGACGAGAAGACTCGAGCGGAGATCCAGACACGGATAAAGGCGATCGAGAGAGGCGTCGAGCACGGAAAGAAGGCGTCGATGGTATACTGTCGAGTACGCCACGACTTTCCAACACCGTTTTAATTGCGTCCACTCTAACGGTAGCCATTCGCCGTCCATCGAGGACGCGATGGTTCAGTGTCGGGACACCGTGGTCCAGCCTTTGCGATCAATCGATCAACAAGGCCTCGAACATTTCCTGACCGTTGCGAACCGTAGAAATAATAACGGTGGTAACGGTGTTCGAGGGTGAAAGCGTTTGCTTTCTTGTTGCTGCGATAACTGAACACGGGATCTGGGATATCGATCATCTTTTGTACGGATCGTTGATAAAACTGGGAAATTTATTTGTACTACTTCGCTTCGGTGACTTATTTGTACTCTATTTGTAACGGGTGTCGATGCACGGTGCGGTTGAGTGGTAGGTGAAATTTGCACTTTTTGGGATTTGGTAGATTGGATACTTAGGGGGGTTGGAATTTGGGAATTTGGGGATTTGGCAGTTGAGAATTTAGGGATTTGAGGATTAGGGGATTTGGGGATTTGGGGATTTGGGGATTTGGGGATTTGGGGATTTGGGGATTTGGGGATTTGGGGATTTGGGGATTTGGGGATTTGGGGATTTGGGGATTTGGGGATTTGGGGATTTGGGGATTTGGGGATTTGGGGATTTGGGGATTTGGGGATTTGGGGATTTGGGGATTTGGGGATTTGGGGATTTGGGGATTTGGGGATTTGGGGATTTGGGGATTTGGGGATTTGGGGATTTGGGGATTTGGGGATTTGGGGATTTGGGGATTTGGGGATTTGGGGATTTGGGGATTTGGGGATTTGGGGATTTGGGGATTTGGGGATTTGGGGATTTGGGGATTTGGGGATTTGGGGATTTGGGGATTTGGGGATTTGGGGATTTGGGGATTTGGGGATTTGGGGATTTGGGGATTTGGGGATTTGGGGATTTGGGGATTTGGGGATTTGGGGATTTGGGGATTTGGGGATTTAGTTTGGGTATTTGGGGATTTGGAGATTTGGAAGTTTGGGGATTTGGGGATTTGGGGATTTGGAGATTTGTGTATTTGTGGATTTGGAGATTTGGGAATTTGGGGATTTGGGGATTTGGGGATTTGGGGATTTGGGGATATAAGGATTTGAGGATTTGAGGATTCGAGGATTTGGAGATTTGAGGATGTTGGGATTTGAGAATTTTGGGACTTGAGAATTATGTGTTTTAAGGATTTGGGAATTTGTGGATTTCAGGACTTGAGGTTTTTGAGGCTTGAGGATTTTGAGTTTTGGAGATCTGGAGATTTGAAGATTTGAAGATTTGGGGATTTGATTGTAGATGTGGGGATTTAGAGACTTAAGTATTTGAAGACTTAAGGATTTTGGAATTTGGGGATTTGAGAATTTAAGGATTTGAAGATTTGATTGTAGATTTAGGGGTTTAGAGATTTAGGTGTTTATAGTCTTGAAGATATAAGGATTTAAGAATTTGAAAAGGTGTAAATTTTAGAATTTGATGATTTAGGGATTTGATCATTTGAGAATTTAACCCTTTGCGCTCGAGAGGTGACTCTCAGTCACCATTTCATTTAATACAATAATTTGAAATGAGCATTTTTTAACTGATTGTATAATATGACACGTGTGACGTATAAACATAGTGAAACAACCAACAGTGGAAATTATTAGTAGAGAAATAATAAAAAAGCAAGCATTTTTTAACTGATTCTATGATATGACAAGTGTGATGTATAAACATAATGAAACAAAGAATAATGGAAATTATTAGTAGAGAAATAATGACCTGAAAAAAAATTCATTTAACAGTCAAACAGTCAAATTACCTTCGAGTTCAAAGGTTTAAGAATCTGGGAACTTCAAGTTCTGAACTTTAAAATCTGGCTGTTCAATTTTGAAACTAGAAGATTCATACCCACATTCATTAACATACACACAACACCATCTGCAGTTTTCACGTACGTTCCTTGTTACAATGACTTAGGTTAGGTTAGGTTTGTTACAATGAGTTAGCAATGAAACGCTGGCAATATAACAAGCTTCTATAAATTACAACAATATACTCACGTTGAACTCGCGTGGTATTCGGCCTGTACCTCCTATGTTCACGATCCCACGTTTCCGGATGTCTCTTCCAATCTTCGTCCCCAACCACCCCTGTGCCGCCTCCGCCCGCAATTCCTTGCAACCCCTGCAGCGTCTGAAGAGCTTGTAAATTCGGGCTCAAGGGTCGTCCTTTCAACGAGGGCACAGGAACGTACGCTGCTCCATCGCCTACGTACACCACCTTCGTGAAAAGCAAACAGAATTTCCAATTAAATTACGAATTTAAAGTTCGTTAACCGGATGCAATCTCAAACAAGTATAAAGAAAGCTTCACGCTCTGAAGAATCTTCCACTGTTTGTCGACGAATATACGCGTTTGTGGGTGCCGGCAACGTTTTAACGTCCCTTTTGTTGGCAATATAACTTGGAACGGGGAGGAATCGTTTGCGAAATGCGCCGCGGAAACGCGCGGTTTCGAGAGGAAAAAGGGGAAAGGAAGCGGCTGAAGAAAGGCGAAAAAAGGACGCCGCGATCGGCGCGTGACTAACGCTTTACGAGCTCGTTTCTGCTTGAGACTGGTACACTCGGTTGAAACGCCTACTTCGGATGAGGTCACAAGTTTAGACATTTTTTATATTTGAAAATTTTCAAACTCTCAAATTCTTGAATTTAAAAGTTTTGCAAATTCAATCATTTTTCTTGGAGTTTCTTTTCTTCAAAGAAATTTTTCCTTTTGTTTTATTTTCTTTAGCAAAGGTTTGCTGTTGACGATTGCGATGCACTTGCCAGGATAATACAGGGTTTCACATGTCGTGCAGATGCAACTTGCGAGAGAACTTCGATTTCCTTCGATGGGTACTTACTTCGAAACGATGCATCTTCGATGGCAGCTAATCAAGATTTCAGAAAGATGTTTACGTTGAGTGGCGGAATTGCTTGGCGCTTAAGTACCGGGTACGAGGATGCTAATCAAGGCGTGCGAAATCGTTGGAATTATTGATGTTGATCAATGTCAACATTTTATTAATTTTTTGACTGAGATGAGCAGTTCGAATTTGGAGTTTGATGTATTTTAGATGAGATTGTAGGTATAAGATTTATAAGCAACTTTGTAACTGCACGGTGCAGAGATACCTTCATAATTGCACGTTTGATAAGTATGAATACCTTCGTAACTAAACGGTGCACAGATACAGATACTTTCATAACTGCACGTTTGACAAATATAAATACCTTCATAACTGCACAGTGCACAGATACAGATACCTTCATAACTGCATGTTTGACAAATATGTATAACTACCTTCATAACTGCACAGTTCACAACTGCTATACCTTCATAACTACATGTCTGACAAATGTAACTATCTTCATAACTGCACAGCTTGCAACTACACATACCTTCATAACTACATGTTTGGCAAATATAAGTACCTTCATAACTGCACGTTTGACAAATATAAATATTTTCATAACTGCACAGTGCACAGATACAGATACCTTCATAACTGCATGTTTGACAAATATGTATAACTACCTTCATAACTGCACAGTTCACAACTGCTATACCTTCCTAACTACATGTCTGACAAAATATAACTATCTTCATAACTGCACATCTTGCAACTACAAATCCCTTCATAACTACATGTTTGACAAACATAACTACCTCCATAACCACACATCCTACAACAACAAATACCTCCATAACTGCCCACTTGACAAATACATCCACCTTCATAACTGCACACTTAAATCTACAACTACCTTCATACCTGCACATCAAAGTCAAAGACCAACCATTTTACACAAAGTTCTTCAGTACCTTTACATCTCAATCCCATCCCCATTTGATCGAATCACTCCACAAAGCCAACGATCAACAATGTTCATCCATCATCCACATCTACCGCAAGAATAATAGTCGCAAACTGGAAGTAGAATAAAAACAGCAGTTCCCTTTTGCAATTTTGTACCCCCATAGGTGGTCAGTTAGTAAGGTGGATGAAGCAAGAGAAGACACGTAGTTGGTGGTAAACACTAGTCGAAGCAAAAACCTAGCAAACAACGTCCATATGCGGGTACCAGTGGAAACAATCGTGTCGTTACACGCTCCTCTTCGTTCCTTCCTTTCTCGCCCTTTTTTGCTCGCTTTCTGCCAGTAACTCGGAGCTAGCTTGTTCTTGCTTTAGTTCGAATCCTCTTTGTACCTTGTCCTCTTCATCCGACACCTAACGCTCACGTTTTATATATCTTCCATTTTATTTGCGCTCCACGAGTTTTCAAAGTTCTTTTCGCGGATTCCAGTTGCTGCAACTCGGACACGAGGGTTGCGTTTATGGGCCACTGGAGTGGTTACAGCATCGATCTTGGATGTACACTCGCGTGCATAGATTCTTGGAATAAGGACACTAGTGAATTTACTTGGATCTCTATGAAGTTGTTTTGTTCATTTTATACTTTTTATATTTTCAAATTTCAAGGTTGCCAAATTCCAAAGTCCTCAAATTCCAAGGTTCCCAAATTCCAAGCTCTGCAAATTCAAAGCACCCCAAATTTCAAGCTTCCAAATCCCAATATCCTCAAATTCCGAAGTCCCCAAATTCCAAGGTCCCCAAATTCCAAGCACTGCAAATTCCAAGCTTTCAAATCCCAATATCCTCAAATTCCAAGCTCCCCAAATTCCAAGCTTTTAAATCCCAATATCATCAAATTCCAAGCTCCCCAAATTCCAAGCTCCTCAAATTCCAAGCTCTGCAAATTCCAAGCTCCCCAAATTCCAAGCTTCCAAATCCCAATATCCTCAAATTCCAAGCTCCCCAAATTCTCAGCTCCCCAAATTCCAAGCTCCCCAAATTCCAAGCTTCCCAAATTCC